GGCTTCCTCTTAGATTTTCGGACGATATTTGGCTCACCTGGTTTGAAAGCGGTTTTCTGATCATTCCCTCTGATGCTCTCTGTTGTCGACCAGGAAAATGTATCCTCTCTTCAGTGGACAACAGTCACATCTAATGCAACTCGCCTAAACCATTACGCTACTTAATTTTCAAAATAAGAGATACAAATCAACAGACCTTTGAGTGAACATTCATCTAGATAATAATACTAACACAACCGAGGTTTTCTTTGGGTAATGATTTAAATTTTTGATTGCTACTACAACTACTGACAAACTTGAAAGTAGCAAAACGTTGAAGGCAGTAAAGATGGAAACAAGAGTGCATGGGAGGACCTGACTTCGGTCTCTAAATGACGCTTGGTAGTGACGACAAGAACACAATACGAAGCTGCAGGGGATTGCAAGCAATTTGGAAAGTATTACTTCCTGAATCGTATTAAGTATCACAGCATTTCTTTCATACAAAAGATATGAGGTAAGTAACACCTGTTGAACTGGCAACAACGAAAGACGACCCAAGGCGTGCATAGTTGTTCAGAGATAAATGTACTACGTGCGTTAATTGCAACCATCTAAATAAATGAAACTGCTTTTTAAATCCTTCGCTTTGATCTCACTTATTGCAGCCGAATGCAACGAATGACGCATCTATGCCGGAAGTATGATCAAGCGGCGGACATGGACCGAATGTCACATCAAAACAAATGAACACCATGTCCTGAAATCGACCCCCCTACCAATTAGGTGAACTAGTTATTAGTCGGAGTACCATCTCCATTGGTCGTGAGACGGAAACTGGCTGACACTGCGTACGCAACCCAAGCCGAAAACCCCGGACGAGACGTTTGTCGTGTTTCCTCTAACTGTACACAATTCGCAATACTCTATGTCTACGCGAATAAACTGGTGGTTACCACAGAAGCGGCTTCTCCCTCGGCCACTTCATGGAATTCGCAATCGCAGACGATCTGAGCAAATCCCAAGTATAAGTCAAAATAATCAGGAGATAATGTGGACGACTTGTTGCCTATTGAAGATAACTACTAGTACACAAGTACCAGTACACTACGAACATGTTTGTTCTCTGCTGTTTCGAATAGTCACGCCGTACGAGATAGTATCGGGAAATCAGGTAATGAAAATAGTTGCTCTCACTGATCAGCGTACGATCAAAGGAGAAAACAGATGACCAAATCGAGGAACGTGTACTAGGTAGTAGAACTGACAGATTAATAGCACATAGCAATGTATACTATACACAAATACTAGTTTGACTGTTTGACTGATCCACCCCTCTACTTGAAAAAATACACGAATAAACAAACCACAAGTGAACGAAACAGAAAATGGGCGTTTGTACAAGCCGGGACAGGAAAAAAATCACAAACCACTCTCTGAAGGGGGGTGATGACATAGTTCGATTCTTATAAAAGTTCTCATCCGGAAAAGTTAGCCATTTTTGAGAGGATGTTTCTCGTCATTTCCGCAGCTGTTTTATTCTGACCATAGTAATCGCTAAACTGGCCATTCGGATCCATCAAGTACATCACGACAGTGTGGTCAACCTGGAACAGGGACAGTGAAAAAATTCATTGATGGAAAATGTGAAACAGTACAGAGTGTACTTGGGTGAACAGAATAATGAGTAAAAAAATTTCAACCGGACTGATTATTCTTTAGACGTAACCCGCACGCATAATTAATTCAGCCANATGCACGAGGTGAATTGAAGATTGCGCATTTTCCCATAGAAGCGTACAAATTACTCTCGTGTCTGAGTCTTCCGAGCAAATCAGCGTTGTTTTGAATATTAAAAGAGGGCCGGATCTTATTTTAAATAAACGAAAATGTGAATCCTATCCATTCATGGTATCGTGACAGAAGCGCAACAGGTGGGCGTACGTATTTGCATACGGTTGCACACATAGGCAGCAAAAGCACAAACGATAGTTTGGAAACTTTGGTCCACTTTATTTCAATCGACTGACTGGAATATGTAAGGGGATAGAAACAATTTTAAATACTTTAAGATAGCATCGCCAAAGTGAAATCGTAAAATCCCCAGGTCATTCGCTAACGTGATGCAATTGGCCTGCCAAAAACCTTAAAAGCCACACGAAGAACTCAAAGCACGTCTTGTTCGTGGTCGAGGTCAACCCATTTGACCTCAGATGACCCGACGGAAAACATAGCTGAATCACCCAACGCACAAATCGTTTCATTGTGATACGGGTAAGACAAAGGTCAACTGAAACGTGACACGTTCCGAGTTGGAGATGTGAACGTGTGGGCTGGCAAATGCTGCCCGGATAAACACGTGTATTAGTATCGTCAAACCACTGGGATACTGCAAATAGGAAACGGGTACTGTCAAGTGTATGGCACTTTGTCGCAGTGCACGGAAGTAAACTTACAATGTAGTCCCCTTCGACATCTTTAGGTCCAGCACTGTAATAAATCCGGTACAGCTTGGCCACCTTATCGATCTGCTCTTTCGTACCGGTCAGTCCGACAAGGTTTGGAGAGAATTCTAAAAGTATGCAAATGAGTTAAATTACGAAGTCAAAAGTAGATGTGATGTGACAGAAAATCAGCGTGAAATATTGACTTGGCATTAATGGTACTAAAGATTATTGTAGTGATTTGTTTGGCACAGCCTGGACTCAGACGTATGTGATATATATATATATATATATATATATAGACAAACATTACGTCATACTCGCAAAACCCGTGATGATTGGTGGACTGATAGACGTACAAACAGCACACAGGCGCACGGAAAGACGGTAATCCCATTATTTCATTCATTTCATTTACGTTTGACAACAAGTCCTAGTTTGGATCGAAACGTTACAATAAACATTTTACAACTCAGTGTACGCCTCCATTCTCTCTTGAAATATATATATATATATATATATATCCAGTCAACCTGCAATGGAAGCAGTTTTCAAATAAACTTCAGTTACATTCAAATACGTGATCACAGACATGGGTAGAAAATCGTAATTCAGTCAATTATATTATGCTGAAATCTCAACCGACGATTGTTTTTACCTATTATTCCACACCGTGAGCAATAAAAAATACACAAATAGAAAGCAAAACGTTACATTTCGTGCTACATGCTTGGTAGTCATATACCGTTCAGCTAAGCCAACGGAAAATTTCAACCTCCGCTGGAACTTAAAGTAGCTCCAATAAGACAGGCAAAGTACTGGTTCGGGAAACAGAAAAGCTGCCTATTATCAACGCTGGGTAAGAATAGAGGCTCAAGGATCTTACAGCCTAGTGCAAGCCAAGCACAGCCTATCCCAACTGTCTAATCACGAGCCATCGCGTAAACGAAGCAACATTTTCCGATCTAAGGTCGTAAAATCATGTCCAGATACAACTTGAAGCACACAAGTTAAAAGAACCGAAACAAGGAACCCTTTGAGAAAGATACAGTTATTATTATTATAACCGTGTTGGCAAGTACTGGCCTACATGTACATAAATTTGCACTGCACCCCGAGGTAGTACATGTGGTGGACCAGGGTGTAAGAGAATGTAAAAGCAAAGATGTAGTTTGGTGGCCGATGCGCATAAACCGCACACTTTTTGAGGTAATAAATTCATTCGTTTATTAAATTCATTCCCTACTTGCCAAGTTATGGTTGCAACATATGGTCTACCTGTACGAATGAGTACCGCTATACCCTTTCTTCTCTAACGTATTCAATATGAAACAGTTTAAGCGCCAACGCCCAGAATCGTCATCGGGCTACCAACTTTATAAAATACCTGTCATTTGAGCCTCTGTCTCCATACTCTCAACACAATGAGTGATAGCGTATATTTTTATAACAATGACCAGTACGAACACGATTAGAATGAAATCAATATCGATTGATGAATAAAAATGAGTGATTTGAACTGGATAGAAAACCTAAATAGACTTTCTTTGTCTTCGTGGACAGAAAAGCACTGTAAAATACTCGCTAGGGATTTCTTCAAGTTTTTCACTGTTTCAACTTACCGTGAATATATTCCGACACGACCTGAGGGGTGTCCCGTTCAGCATCCACCGTGACAAATACGGGAACAAGTTGATGCTTGGTTTTGTTAAGCAATGCTACGAGATGGGAGTAGAGGAAAAGGAAAAGAAAAATTACTATCCAATCAAAAGAACCTAAATCAAAGTAACGGACAAGTGAATCTTCCATAAGAAAACATGGAAATTATCTCAAAGGGAAGATAACCAGATACTAGGCTTGGCGAACATAATGAGTGATGAGATACCGCTTGGCAAACGAAGGATAAAATACTCAACACACACGGTACCAATGGAATCACTGTTAAATAGAAAGAGCAACCAGAAAATAGAATACATCACATTAAGTCTACCTGCCATCCTGATTAGGAGACTCGGTCACCTACATCACGTTGGGCTCTCTGGATCGGGACCTCGGGATCGAAGTAATCAATGGTTAGGATGCCAAATGATATGGTTGAGTGCCGTGAACAGTAGCGCTCGTGCATCTGCTCAATTTCTTTGCAACCTTAACCTGCATGATTTCTGTATTTTACTCTGACACTGATTAAAACACTTCAATCTTCCTTCTACTTCTTCATCCAAAAGGGCAGCCAAAAGACAGCAACCAAAACCGCTGCACGAAAGTGCATGGTTACTGGTTGGACAGTTCAGTTCAGTTCTTACAACCATTAAACATGCACGTTTGTGTACCGGTTTTGGTTGCTATCTTTAGGTTGCCCATTTGGATAAAAGAGAAGGATCAAGACTGGAATATTGAGAGCGCATTCAAGAGAAAGATGGCGAAGATATAGACTGGACTTACAAGAATCATGAGTAGATGCACGAGAGACTTTGTTTTCGACATCCAGTCATACCACTCGGTGACCATGAACTTGGGTTCGCCAGCCAGGGAGCCTAACGGGACCTATGTAACCTAGTCTATTGGTAAGGGTTTTCATACCCTCATGACAGGTTTTAGTCTGACCTCCCTTGATCATTTTCCAATCGCTAACTGCCTCGGCAAACACCGCTTGATGCGGCAACCTATCTGGTGACATGCGTAGCACCAACGTAGCAGCCAACGCAATCTACGAAGGTCGACTACTTGCTCCCGTGGACGACGCGATTACCTAAACTCTCCGCCTAACCTCAGCATTGTTCGTCCGGTTTCCCCACCAGACTCGTGCAACGCGACGTAGACAGCGGTGTTCGAACACCGACAATCTATTTTTATGCTGCTCCCGTAATGGCCAAGTCTCTGCACCCTAAAGCAGCACTGGCCAAACTGCTGTAGCATATGCTAGACGCATCAGAGACAGCCGGATTTCGCGACGACGCCACAAATGTTTCAAGTTGGCAAATGTCAACCGAGCCTTCTGTATGCGCACCGACACTTCATATGTGATGCGTCCACCAGGTGAGATATAGCTGCCCAGATAGCAAAATGTGTCTACTTCCTCTACTACTTCCTGAGTCAGGGTGGGGTTGGGGCTGTATGAACCTAATCTTGGAGTAACATTTCACAATTTGAAGGTGCAAAACGCATACCAAACATAGCAACACTAGCACTCAAACTATCCAGAAAAGCTTGCAACTTACCTGGATCTTCACTTAGTAGCATGTCATCTGCATATTGTAGATCAGACAGTCTGCCACCTCAGAGTAAATCGATACCGCTATCCTCGCACTGTGGTTTCTCTCCATTTGCGAATAAATCTTTCGCCTTTACTGGTTGAACAAATTAAACTGAACGGACACCTGACTTACAATGACACTTATCCCTTTGGAGTGAAAGTAGATGCTTAGATTACTTATTCTCATAATTGAGATGGACTTCGTATTTTACCACCAATTTGATCAGGCAAGAAATAGACAATCGTAACACTGTATATAACAGAACTTGAAACGAACAAAAATAATGTGAAGTTTATATCCGTTTCTATGATGATGCCAATGTTGCGGGCTGTCGCACTACTCGGTCGCTCAAACCAGAGACTTGTATAATCATGAATTTTAGTTCCTCTTTGCTTCGTATTTTCATCACACTGCGGTAAACAGCCGCACAATAACAATAGTTCGACCCATTAGCACAACTGATTAATATTTTGTATATACCTCTTTATCTCTTAACGGCATCTCGCTTGGCATGGTATGCATGCGACAGATAAGCGTAGAAGATTAACGCTAGACTAACATTGTCGGGCAGGGTCAGAATCTCATGGGCCGATACGAGCCAGTGATAGCATTCAAAACCATCCAAAACTATCATCACAAGTAACATCCCCGTCGCAGATGACGACTTGGATGAATACAAGAAATGCGTGACCTAACCAACGAGTTAAACGAGTACCATCCACGTTTCTTTTTTCTCTAATGCACTTGTTCAGTTGGACCTGAATGACAGATATATATGGAGAATCATAAAGAAAGCAATCAATAAAAATTCGTTTCATTTCAAAATAGCTAGTTCTATCTGGAAAACAACTCCAACAACCTTATGCTATCTGAAGGAAAAAATAAAGACATCCGAATGCTATGATAAACCTTAGATAGTAATCATAAAGGAGAAACAATACCTCTGTGTAACAAATGAATGAACATTATTCAATAAATACGATAAGAAATAAATCACATTACCTCGAACAATGTTAACTTGCCTATTCGGTCACTGACTTCGACCACTTTTTCCAGTTGTTCCGGGCAAATGTCAGGGCATCGGCAAAATCCAAAATACAACAGTACCCACTTTCCCTTGAAATCTTCCAGTGTGCAGGGTTTCCCATTGTGGTCTATTAGGGAGAAGTTACCACCAATACTCGGGCGGCCGACGGATTGCTTCATTTTTTTCTGCTCTGCAACATGACATCAGTGTGACAGATCACTTATGTTGGAAATATTTTCAAACTGAACATAAAGCGGTTAATTGTAAGCATGATTACTAGCATCAATCACATTTGATCAGCTACCATTATATCTGACGATATATTGGGAAACGGAGTTATGAATGGTTTTGGTGAATACAAACAGTTTAGTAATCGGCAGTCACGTTCAGCACTGACGATGCAACACACTGCAACGCTCATGGGTGTCACTGAATATACAGAAGTTTTGATCGTGTCTGACACGCAAGTTTGCTGGTCAAACTACGGGCATCAGCACAATCAATAGCTAGAGACACTGAATGATATGGAGTAAAAAGTGGCGCCCATGCATCTTCACAATTTCTGAGCAAACTTAATCTTCAGGAATTCTTTTTCACTATGACAGGAATTTGAACATTTCAATCTCACCTTTACTCCCTCATCTAAAAGGTAAGCCATGAGGCAGCAATCAAAATCACCGGACGAAAGTGTATGGTTAAAGGTTGTGAAAAACTGAAAACTTAAGCTACCGGAGTTCATTTTACTCTAGGGACGACAAATTTTTGTAATGATCACACCATTTCTGTTCAAGTCAACGGGACCGTATTTTATTCCATTCCTATTAATACTGTACTTTC